ATGACCGGCTCAAGGTTTTTGGTGGCTTCGCTCATGCCAGCATGGCTGGTAGCCTCGGTGATCAACGTATCTGGGACGCATCAGTGGGCCTGGAACGAAGATGAACGGAGGGCCTTGGTGCGAAAGCAAATTATGATCCGCAATCTATCATCGCAATCTATCGTGAGTATCAGTAACTGACTCAGTAACTGACTCAGTAACTGACTCAGTAACTGACTCAGTATTTGACTCAGGAACTATCAACTGAATTCAACTGATGAATTTGTTGCAACCCACCTTTTTTTCAAAGGCAGAATTGGGTGTCGGTATGACATCCCAATTCCTGCCAAGGCCGTCATCACCGAGATGATTTTCCAGTTGAAAGTACTGGAGGTCGCTGGTGCCATAGGCGCACGGGGCGCACGGGGTGGGGTCGTTCTGGGGGCGCTCTGGAACCAGGGTTGGTGAAGCTCCCCTCTATCAGTTTCGACATGTTGGGAAGGACAATATCCGAAGGTTTCATTGAAAGGCCAGGCCAAAAATGTTTGACAAACGATGTTGCGTCTTGCCGATGTCATATCCATCCTGGCCCAGTGGCTTGTTATCAGGCTTGGGATGATACATCATGATGGCTGCCTTCAAGGTGGTGCCCCCCCAGTTATAAATGGGTTATAATATCATTAACTATAGATATACTGTAGATATATCACCTATAAACCATAGTTATTGGACTTATAAACCAACTTAGCGATTCCGAACTGGGGCACCACCCTGTTCCTCTTTTCCATCATTTTCTCAGTTTCGAGATGGCCACATCTCACTAGCGCGTCGACAGAGTTGATGCCGAGGCTTCTCTCTTCTTCTTATTTGCATCCTGCTTGTGGATGTAGGTTCAGCCGGTTGGGTTGATGGTGATGGCTCACCATGCTTAGTCCTGGACATTTTTTTCGAGCGTTTCATGTTATAGTAATTGATGCTTTAGTAATCTTTCATAATGTGCCAAAACCAATAGCATTATCCCGGCATTTTTTGGGTTGTTTTACAAACCATTCATGACAATATTCGGGATGGTTTATACGTAGGATTACCACATTACCAGAAATTACAGAATTCTTGATCTCTTTGCAGCCCCATCGTTGCCCCAGTGCAAAGCATGCATGATTATGCATGTGAAACTGCGGGATACAGCGGGACCAGACATCAGAATCTGTTTTCTGTGGAAAAAATTGTGATGGTAGGGGCATTTTCATCATCACCATGGCTGCCAAAATGACCTATAGACACAGATATCTTTGCCATGACAGTGTATCCGAAAATTGCTCCTGACCACCACCACCGTTATCACCATTGCCATCAGCAACAGCGCCATCATCCATCAGCCATCAGCATCACCATTAGCATAATAATAATTATCACCATCAAAGTTGAAATAATAGTATCACACTAGTAATAGTAATAATAATAATCATCACCATCACCATAATTACAATAACAATAATGCTAATAATTATCATCAGCGCGTGTGAGAGGAAAGCTCTTGGTGAGATGCAGACCAGACGATTTCATGTCTGGTGACCCAGTCCTTGCTGTGAGTCCCTCTGTCTCACTTGGAGGGAAGGTTAGTAATGAGGGGTGAAGGCCTGGTATATAACATTTGCATCTTTCATGTAATTAGATCATTTCTCTTTAGAGGACCATTTTTTGTTGTTCAAAGCAGTCAGGACTGATCTCCCACTAATATCATCGCATGGTCCAAAGATCGTACTATATCAGAGCCGGCAATCGAAGTACAAAGGTTTGACATCAAGGCGTACCCTTCAGTAACAAACGAGCATAGAGAGAGAGAGAGAGATATATATATATATAATATTATATAATATTATATAACATATAATATTATAAAATATGATATAATATTATATATACATAGTGGAGAGCCCATAGTTTCCCTAGAACATGATCTACAACTGGTGGCTTGTCACATGGATTGTCCATCTCTGAAAAAGTTCTGTAGCTTGAAGTCGTTCCCGATTCTGAGGTCCGTGATCGTGGCGATGGACTCAACCTTAATGGTCGTAGCACCTTGGAAAGCCTGGGTTTTCCGGGGAACGCGTGAAGTTGGTTGGATCGTTTTGTCGTGTTTTGGCGAGCTGGCTTTTATCTGGGTTATGTTCAGCTCGAAATGTGGTGCCTTCGCAGGATGGTTATATCAAGTTTGGGGGGTTGGAAGATGTTTTCATAGAAACTATATCCACGTGAATTAGTGCACAAGGTTCACTTGGTGGCCTCAGGTGTGGACGGTTCAGGACAGTTCATGCCACCAGATCACCTGCAAATGGTGCCATCGGCAAATTTCCAGCCTCCAGTGGTTGGGTGATGTTCAGCAAATCAAGGGCATTTTTTATGCCCTGACCCCAAGATTTCAAGATTCCAAGCATCCAATTTCCTGGTGATTTTCTGGTAAAAGTTTACATACATAACAAACTGGAAAATCACCATTTTATAGCTGGGAAAATCCACGAAACTTCGACTGGGCCATGGCTTCAAGTTCGCAAACTGTGAATGTTTACCAGGCCGGGTACCCGGGTGTGTACCTCTGCTGGATCCACCTTCGCTGAGGTGAGTATACCTTTCTTCGTCTTGACCTTCTGCTTTTTGCACTCTGGAGAGGTGAGACTCCGATGGAAAAAAGAAAGGGCACCCCCGAAATCAATCAGCAACTGGTGGTAACCGAAATGATCAACGACCAGTTGGCGAACTGGTATAGATGGCCCACTTATAGTTGATTTACCCATTAAAAATTGTGGTTTCCCATAGTTTTTTGTATGTTTCCCAGAGAGTTAACAAAAATGCATAAAACTTAGATTAACCAACACCGAATGCTTCAGATGTCTCCGTGTTCATCACGCGATTTTTTCATCCGTCACGCCCATCATATGAACTCCATTTTTTGAGAGAAGCCCCTTTTCAGGCATATATCATTACATTATAGTATTATAAAGGCATAGTCACTATAAATTCTATAAATTCATCATATAACCCATAGCCACTATTACATCTAATCCATAAATTCTACAAAAATTCTATAGCCCAGTGCGCCACTTAGCAGCAAACCCAATGATGGACCGTCCACGGGCATCTACCAGGCCGTAACTGAGCGTGTCGCCAGCGAGCAGCAGCCGCGTATCGCAGACATCACGGTGCCCACGGGGCTCTCGGAGCTGAATAATGCGCCAAATGCAGCGCCGGTGCCCAGTATGGCGGTGAGGACTTCGAACAATCATTTCCCCGAGGCCTTAACTTTGGGGATTTGGAGGGATTTGGATGGCTAGATGGGGACGGGCTGGATGAGTGGTCTGAGTAGTGGTTTTTTGGGGAGAAATTGGGGTATAGAAATAGTCCGGGGAACTCGTTTGGGGAAACGTGAATCTCATCAAAGATGGTGTATAGCCCCAGTAGTTCCCCCCAACACCATGATGCCCCACCAAAAATGCAAGCCGCCAGGTGGTCTGACGCTGGCCATTCTTTAGAGTCATCAGCTGTGTGCAGCCTGGAAGTACCTTGCCCGGGTATCCGTGGAAAAATCTTAAGGGTTTAGATATATTGAGAATTTTAGGTTAGATGCCATTCTTGATGAGTAGCCCCAGAGTCTAGGTACAATTGAACGGGTCGAAGAAACAGACAGGTTTCCCTTATTCTATTTTCAGGTAAGTTGAGTGACTTGAATTTCACTTGAATCAGTGCAGTCCAGGTTTTCCTTTCCTTTCTGGTTGGTCCATTGCTTTATATTGATTCACTGGTGCATCAAACGTTTTGCCATGGTTCAACATGTGTCCGCGATTGTGGTATCCATGCTGTCCTGGCACGCGACTCGCGAGATAGGGTTCAGCGGCGTAGCACAAGAGGCTCTGCCAATGTTGTTATTTCACTTGTCAGTCACAGTTTCAATATGTCCCATAGGATCCATGTATGGTATATATGCTAACATTTGGGGTATATTGATGGTAAATGTTACCATATATGGCAGCACCATGGATCCTATGGGTGTTACAAAGACATGTTGTTCGCCAGCTTGTTTTTGTTTTTTCCATCCAGTTGGTCTCGGTGCCAATGGAGTGAGACCTTTGACAAGCACAAGGGAACTCATAGGGAACTCAAACAACCTAACTTTCAATACTGAATATTTGAATGAGGCTATGGAACCTACATCTAGGATCATCCAGGAAGCTTGGCGGGTCGCAAGGTTGAGAAATTCCAAAGATGCGACATGATTGATTGCATGTATTTTGTTGGACTGGCTTTGTGTACACCCTCTGGTAAACAAACATAACTATGGAAAATCACAATGTTATCCATTTTTAATGGGTAAATCCACTATTTCTATTCTGTGGCCATTTTCAATAGAAAACTGTTAGTTTACCAGAGGGTATCTCCAAACATTGCATTTCTGTTAAGATCTCCTCATTCGATTGACGACGTCGACGTCAACGTGCCTTTCACGGCCAATTCATCCTGTGGTCAGCCCCTCTAGCCATTTGTATCTATGGAATGATATACCATAGCACGGATGATCCGGATATAGAATGATATAGATAATCATAGAATATCATAGATACAATTGGAGGAAAACTAGCCATTGTACACTGGGGATGAGGCAGTATCATATAGTATCATCAGTTCTCGGCTGTGTCATACTTTGAGCATGTCGGAGCGAACATGGCAGAGTCGACTTCTCGTTAGTGCTGCAGAATCGCAGCACTGGCACGTTGTAAAGCTCGGAAGAAATTCCTACACAGTGCCTACACATGGCATTTTTTCCACTGTGGGTTGATGGTTGTGCAACTTACTGTAATAATTGTAATATGGCCGGAGCCAGAAGAAATTTGTGGAACTGGAAGGAACGTTCGCCCTCACTACTGCAGAATGATTTTGCGCATACGAGGAGGTTTTTTGTGGTTCACAAATATTGGCCTACAGCCCAAAATCTCAGTCCCAGGTGACAGTCTATCTAATCTAATCTTAATCTTATCCAATATTAATCTATCCCTATCTTATCCAATCTAATCCTATCTTACCCAATCCAATCTAATCCCCTGCAGTCCAATCTAAATCTAATCTAATCCAATCTTATCCAATCTGACCCTATCTTTTCCAATCTAACCCTATCTTATTCAATCTATCCCTAGCTTGTCCAATCTAATCCAGTCTGTCCATCCATATGTCCCCCATGACCTTCCAGTTTTGATCTATCGATCTATCCCACTGGTGGGACTCGAATTCTCACAGCAGGGTCCCAGGTGTCCAATGCACACGCCTGGGTGCCAGCGAATGCAGGGGATTCTGTGAAGATGAAGTATGGATAGGTTGATGCCGAAAGATAAATCCTTGTCATTGAACAAGAACTGCGGAGATATGTAACAGGTCTATATACATGCATAAACAGGTAATTCAGATAATGTTAGTATAGA